GAATAAAATATAAAATTAGTTTATTTAATGTAATAATATATCATGTAATTCAGTGTAATTGGAATTAAAGTAAACGAACTAAAAGTAAATGGTAAATGTCTACACGAAATGCATAACTTGATAAAAACACAGAATTAGATCGGTTAACGTACACGGTGGTAATATTACATGTAGCCTATACATTGTACACGATGAATGTTAACTGGGAACAGATAATGCGAAACTTTGTGAACACTAAGCAATATTCTCTTCTGCTGTAATATTAATCTCGACTGCCACCTTGTGGCCAACAGGGAAAAACATTTGCAGAGCGATTGCATGCACAGATTCAAAGATCTTTCTGAAGTTAACTTCACATATAAATGTATGAAATGTTTAATTATTCAAGAAAAACATTATTTCGCAATTTAAAAAAAATGTGTTAAGTGTTCGTTTTAAGACTGTTGAAGGCCCTGACTTGAAAAATAAAACAGAAAAAGTTACCCATTATTTACATTAATAATAGTAATTGATTGAGGCTATTTTGTTTCTCTGAGTAGCCTGTGTGTGCGTTTAGTTGGAACCTGACACTCGTGTCGCAAATCCAGTCAATCAACAAGTAAGCTATAACTGAAACCCTCTGAGAATCTGAAATGAGCAGTTCCTATCCTCCTTAAAGGACATTCAAGCTTTTGTAAATAATGGGATTGAGTAAAACATGGCTGAGGTCCTGGTGACCGCTATCGCAGAGCGCGCTCAGGTGCTTTCATGAGACAATGCGCATTTGTTGTCATCTGCTCCCGTCCCGCGTGCAGCGATGAGCTCCAAGCACCGGCCCGTCATTGTCTGCAGTCAGTAAATGCTTTTTAGTGCCACCGGCTCACAGGTAAATATAATGACAGGACAAAGTGGGGTGCATTCTCATAATACAGTACCTATGTTGATAGAATCTGTCGACATGTACGCTAACTTTTTAGGTCAGCTAACTGAGGATGACAAGTAGGCCCACCTGAGGTAACTTGTCTCGTTGGTTGTGTAAGTTAGGTTTTACCCGCGCAACTGATGTGATGGCATCAACTACACTGTGCAGGAAGAATATTACTAAATGTTTTGTTTGTTAATAAAATTTGCAGTTTATGGTTGTTGTTGACTTTTCTTGGAACAGCAACATAATGTATCTGTGGAGGATATCTATAATACCTGGCGGAAGTTATTGGCAATTCTTCAGCTGGTCTTGGAAGTACATAACCCAGAGGCTTCCATATTTCCCTCATGTAGGCTTAGTTGCTTAGTTCCTGGTAGCTATATGTCATGCGATTGGTCATTTCTCAAAGAAAAAGGGGTGAATTTTATTATTTGTAAGAGCAATTTGTAATCTAAAAATAATTGCTCACTGTTAAAGCACACTATAATTACATGAAGTACTTTGTCTCTGTCCTGATTTGTGGTTTTAGATTACAAACAATTTATCTAGCAGTTTAAGATTGATGACAAATTTGATATCCATTCAACCTTTAATTCAGAGTGAAGCATTGTGAAACAAACTCTATATTCCATCGTGGCAAAACATTGCATTAGCTACCAAAGCGTGTCTACCTTTTTATGAGAAGTACATTTATTTAGAGACTTGCAGATATGATGTAGCACTGCTTGTCAGATATATGTGAGTAAAGCAGCTGAATAATTATATTATTAAAGAGACAAGAAGTATAATTTTTTAACAGAAATTATTAAAACAGACTTCCACTTTTGTCAGGTGGGTCAAACGTTTTTAGACCAGTGGTTGTTTTAACAAATTCTATAAATTTAAATGATTAAGATTATTTAAATTTATGTTAACATAATGTTAATTAAAATGCAAATAAAACTTTTATCATACATTGAACTGAATATTGTCTGAACAAAGGGGAGTAAAAAAGGTTGAGAACTACTTTTTTTAATCTTATATGCAGAGATGGACCAGGATCTATAGCCTACTATAAACGTTGATTTTTTTTAGTACTATTTATTGTTTTAAATAGCCATTTTTACATTGCAAAGACACTATTGAACAACTCCAATAAAAATAAAATTGCTATAACATGAAGGAGTCCTTTGTTCAAACCTCAGATGGGGTTATATTCTTTTTCGATAAACTATTGGACCATGATGCCCAAATATTTCATTTAAACTCAAGAAGACATTTTAGCATTTGTGGCAATAATGGCACCATTCTTTAAAACTTAACAAGGTTTCAGAGCAGACAAGCGTGAATTTAATGATCTATTTCTCAAAGAAATACTGTTACAGTGTCTTTTGTTACATGCAAAACTGAAAAGGAGATGCCATGCCATGCAAGGCTTTGTTGAAAAACTGTCACTTGACCTGGGCGTTTCTATTTACAAGGGATTGAAAAGTCAAGCAATGAATAGTTGCAGTTGAAACAGCAGTACAATTAGAGAAGAAACACCACTGTATTAGCAACTGCTAAGTAGTCCAAACAGATCCCAATCTTAATCCCAGAAACGGATTTATTGGGCTTAATCCTGTTGATGAAAACAGAATCCCACTTGCGTTCAGACAGCCCACCGCCCCAGGTGCAGTAAACTCACTAGACAAGGCCTTTCCCCCTCTGTCTCAGTAAAGCGCTGATGAATTGATAGTGTAGGACCTCGCTGGGCAACATGCCCGGTTGGTTAATTGGTCAGGGGAATGTTTTCCAACAGAAGCCAGAATCAAATGTATAAAGGTCATGAATAATTAAAAGAGTGACTGCAAAGTGGGTTTTGTTGGTCTGAATGTCAAGCGAACTTCTCACTTCAGAAAGACTTAAATAACATTCCTTCTGTGAAAGAAAAGGGACTCCAAGTGCTACTGACTTGTTATTTGATACATAGTCTTTGGTTCTCACATTTAATATTTTTTAAATATTACATGTAAGATAAACCTTCTACAGTTTGTCCTCTGATTCTCTATGGAGTTCAGACACTTGTGAAGGAAGAGCAGAAGGCACGAGACACAGCTTCGATCTCTGTAGATAATGGGATAAATCGATATCTGTTATCTTAATATCATAATGATTTAATGGCAATTCGCTAATTGGCCAGATTAGTTAATCCTACTGTCTACATTTATAATCTTGATGTCTCTAAACATGCCCTCGGACCCCATTTGCCATTCAGCCTTTTTCTGGACAGGAGCCAACATGAGCAACTTTATACAAATGATACACGTGTTATTTGCTCAGTTTGAAATCATTGTAAAATATGTTAGTTCATGATCTGGTTTCCTGGCATCTTTGTCTTTAGACGTCCTTGTATAATATGCAGTATGTGTTTTAAGCACTGTGCTGAAGAGACCATCACGGCTGTGTCAAATGACCAAAATGTGAATGTGTTCTGACTGTGACATTAATACCTTGAGTGGCATTCGCCATGACTTGTTTCTAAGCAGCTGGAAAGAAGACCCTACATATATACACATGATATCACAGCAGAAATCTGGCAACAGACTCAATCATATGACCTTTAGTTCGAAAGTCCTCCACTGTGTCAGCTGATGGAATCTTTTTGACTGCAGGCAATACAATCTTTTGCCTTCCTCACTAAACCTGCGCCGAAACATAGCTGCCAAATGATATGTCATTGGAAGCTGAAATGAAAGGCTACAATATACCTACAGTATATACTGTAAAAGTTTTGTACAGTCTATATAATGTATGTGTTTTGTATGTCTGATGGGGTTTTTTTTTTGGTATTGTACAATTTAATGTTTTGTTTGAACTTTCGATGTAATTGGAAAATGAAAATAAAGGCTTTCAAGGACTTACACAACTATTACAACTATATGTGTATTTGTATACATGCATTTATTTTATTTAAAAAAATACAGTAAAATGCTGTTTGTCAATGTACCACCTACAGTACTCATGGTATTTGGTTGCAAATGTCCTTCTTGTGATGACTGTGATTACAATGTGTTTTTCTTCTCTTTTCATTTATAAAAAATACAGTAAAATGCTGTTTGTCAATGTACCACCTACAGTACTCATGGTATTTGGTTGCAAATGTCCTTCATGTGATGACTGTGATTACAATGTGTTTTTCTTCTCTTTTCATTTATTTTCTTTTTTGCTGTAAGGGGTTCAAAGCTGAGAAGGGTGATGTTCTATAAAATGAAAAAAAAAAATAATGCAGTAAAAATGGTAATATTTTGAGAAAAAATATCACAATTTAAAATAATTGTTTTCTATTGTAGTATATTTTAAAATGTAATTTTTTTCAGTAATGACAAAGCACATTTTTAGTAACCATTAATCCAGTCTTCGGTGCCACATGATCTTTCACCCTGGGTGCGATGTTGCTGAATAAAAGTAATAACATAAAATATGTGAACATTTTTTGTTGTAAAAATATTTGTTTTTTTAAGAATCATATCATTTTTTACAATGTAAACACTCTAAGACATTCATTCTTAAGCTGCCACATCTCTCGTTAACTTTTTGTCACTAATATGGAATTTATATGCAACTGAAGCATGGTTTTTCATGGCCAGTCATTCTTCTGGAAGACTGTGCTGTGACTTCTGCAGTGCTGCAAACCATAATAATAAATACTCTAGTAGATTTTGTAACAGCCTTGCCAACTAAGAGGCTATAGTGTTCACTTTGTACACATATGTTTGGGGGGCTGGTGGAAGGTGTCAGAGAGTGAGAGAGAAAGTGCTGCGTGTATTACGTGATGTGTAACACCGTTCTATTTATAACAAATCATAGGGCCTGTGGTGTACCGCTCTTACTCGGAAGGACACACTTCAAAGGGCATTTACTATGCCTCAGGCTACTGAAGTGGTGTGGCAGGCTAACTGCTCTGGGACTTTTGCACTTTCACACCATTGAACAGGTACTGTACAGATTTCTGCTGTGAGTTTAATATTAGATTTATATTATTGTTCACACCAAACAAAAATAAATGTGAACAAAAGCAGTGGATTCTGCATACTTGGTTCCCCATGCAGTTTTACCAGTGATGAAGTAAAGAAAAATGTGGTTGCCTCAAAATATGGTTGCTGAAATTAAGGACACTTCCTCCGGTGAGTTGAAAAGTGGAACCAAAGATCTAGAGAGTGTTTCTCTTGATGCTTCAAATCAACTGCCATGTCCTGTGTTTGCTATCTCCTCCTTTTGGAATGAAATGGAGAAGCTAACCATCAATGACATACTCCGTCTGCGGTTGATCAGTAATGCCCAGCACCCCAGCATTTTGACCCAGCCCGAGGATGGTAGCATAGCAGACACTGCAGATGCTGCAGACTCGGGCTACTTTACACAACCTGACGACTCTAAGCCGGACCGCTTAAGTGGAGACATGTCTTACATATCTGATCTGGATGAAGACCTTGCACAGCTTCAAAACCCATTTCCTTCTAAGCAAGAAGACGAGTCGAGTGAGTTTCCTAGCTCTTGTGGTGTGATGTGGGAGAACGATCCAGATCCAGTGATTGTGGGTGATGAAATGGTGCACATAAGTTCTGAAACCGCTCTTCCTGAACATCTCTACACAGCAAATGCTCAGCAGTGCTTCAGAAGAATGTGTAAGAACATGTCTGTGCAGAATCTGCAAGCTCTGGATACTCAACCAATCGGACAAATCCTGAGAAATGCCTCGATGCATTCAATCCATTCAGAGGTAGAAGATGATTGTATGGATCCTTTTTACCATGTGAACACTTCAGGCTCAAATATCTTTTCTGATGATGAAGAAGAAATAGAAAGCAGTGGTATAGCATTTTCTGAAATAATCCAGTATTTCTTTGGTGAGGATGAACCTGAACGTTGTGTGTCTCGTGCAGACAACATAGCTGCCTCGTACCTTGATGGTACCGGCACCTCATTGCCTGAGACCTATGATTATTTTTTCTCCGAGTTTGATTCTGGAAGTTTTGTTTGTCCAATTGTGGAAGAGTCAGGTGGTGATAAAATGGTTCCCATATTTTCCTGCTCCCGCTCAGCTAACAGAAACCTTCAGTTCCCAGAGGCATACGACTATTTCTTCCCTGATTCCCCTGGGAATTCAGATGAAGATGATGAGAATGACAATGCAGCAATCAAGGTAGTGACACGGTATGACTATAAGTCTCCCAACCATGATCCTGTTGACATGTACGAGCACTTCTTGTCTGAAGATGAGAGCGACTTCCTCTGGACGAACCCTCTTTCACTTCGAAAAGTTCGACGCACAGGTTATACTGTCCCCAAAGGGAACACATGTTCTGGGGAACTTCTGCCTGTGAAGACATTTCCCAAAGGAATCATTCAACCTATTAATGCTATGAGCCCTGATGGGAGCCCCTTTCCAGATTCCTTGCTCCTCAAGCTGGAGAACCGTATCTTCCAGCAGCTGGCTGAACAACAGGAGAAGTGTATGGAGATGCAGACAGTTGTTGCTGATCCAAGTAAGAACGTCTACCATGCAGTATTTTGCACATACACACTGAAACTGAAAATTGCACACTAACACTTTCTTGAAGGTTTTTTTTTGTTCCCTTTAAACTTAAGCCTAAAATAAGAAAATACATTGGTTTCTCTAAATTTTCTGGGAATTATTTTGATGTTAATCAACTCTCACCTCTTTTCTATCAGTCAATAGCTGTTGACTAAGAGTATCTAGTCACATGTAGAGCCATGCCCGGGGCTGATGGAATGGTAGACGTGCAAATTAGTCTTCACTCCTGCTGGGCAGCTTCTCAAACCGGCCATGTGCCAGAATTTAAGAACGTTTCACTTTAAAGTACATGTAAAAATAGAGAAAACTCCAGGAACATTAGGACACTTATTATCATTTGGGATTCAGCCATAGATTATCATTCAATGTCAAATCACTACCTGCCTACTGATATATTATTTTATTAAATTATATTAGAATTTAAAAAATGGTTTTATTGATATATAAGAATTAATACTCAGCAATTAAATTGATCAAAAGTGTCACTAAAGACTCTTACAAATGCTTCAAATAAATGCTGTTCTTTTGAACTTTCTATTCATCAAAGAAAAAATATATCACTGTTTCCACAAAAACATTAAGCAGCACAGCTGTTTTCAGCACTGATAATAATTAGAAATGTTTCTTGAGCATCAAATCAGCACATTAGAATGATTTCTGAAGGATGTTTCACTTTAAAGTACATGTAAAAATAGAGAAAACTCCAGGAACATTAGGACACTTATTATCATTTGGGATTCAGCCATAGATTATCATTCAATGTCAAATCACTACCTGCCTACTGATATATTATTTTATTAAATTATGTTAGAATTTAAAAAATGGTTTTATTGATATATAAGAATTAATACTCAGCAATTAAATTGATCAAAAGTGTCACTAAAGACTCTTACAAATGCTTCAAATAAATGCTGTTCTTTTGAACTTTCTATTCATCAAAGAAAAAATATATCACTGTTTCCACAAAAACATTAAGCAGCACAGCTGTTTTCAGCACTGATAATAATTAGAAATGTTTCTTGAGCATCAAATCAGCACATTAGAATGATTTCTGAAGGATCATGCGACACTGTAGACTGGAATAATGGCTGCTGAAAATTCAGCTTTGTCATCACATGAATAAATTACATTTCAAAATATATTCAAATACAAAACAGCTGTTTAAAATGTAAATAATATTTCAGAATATTAATGTTTTGCTCTATTTTTGAAATGTTGAAATAATAGTGTATATCTCAGAGTGAGCTGGTTTGATTTATATTGATTTCAGGAACCCAGTTAGGTTTTGAATATGTTATTGTATACAGTTAGTTAGTTGTTTTTTTTGTTGTTGTTGTTGTTTCGTCAATTAAATAATACTGTACTGTTGTTCTGATTTTGGTGCTTCTTTTCTAGGGTTGGATGCTCCATTCTTGCCTCTTAAACAGGCAGACATGTGCTTGGTTTGTATTGCTTTTGCCTCGTGGGTGCTAAAATCAACTGGTTCAGGAGCAGACACCTGGAAAGCTGGTATGTATTTTTATTTTCCTGGTTAGTCATTCATTTAGTCATTTGGTTACGTTTTGACAGTATTTATTTCCAATTTTATACTTTTCAAAGAAGAAATAGGTATGCCTTTTCCCTGGTAAAAATCTCTCCGCCACATGAAATTTAGCAAAATTTTGATTTAAAAGAAAGTTTGATTTAGGAATTAAATTGATAGTAATCCTTAATGATGTATATCTTTGTTTTTTTTAATCAGCTCTTCTCGCAAACGTCAGTGCACTCTCTGCCATTCGATATCTGCGCAGACACAAGAGGGAGGAGGTCTCTGGAAAAACTCATTTGCGTCAGATAGAGCCAGCATAATTCCGTGGCACAGCACAGCCCTCAGATCTGATTTCAGCCACATCTCCCTTTTTTCCATGTAATCCAAAAGTGTGATTTTGAATGTCAGACATGTGCATGCATGACTTTTTCCATCATTCTCAGTACATATTATTATGATTAACACTCTGATGTGTGTTTATTGCTGATTAACTCAGTTGATATACAATAGATGTAGCAAAATATGAGAAAACAAATGTGACTTCAGGCCAGTGGCATTTCAATAATCTGCGCATCCAGATTAAAAAAAACAACAATGTAGTTTGTTTATGAAATGACCAAAGCTCTTTTTCTGATTCTGAGATATTGTGGATTCTCTGTTTGCAGTGAATGCTGTTGTGTGTTGTGAGGAAAGCAGCAGTATGTTGATTAATATTTGATAATGAGATGCTTATGAAGGTGTTATGATGGAAGATGGACATGTGTGTCTAAATAAGTGTACCTGTGGAGAGATTTTAATGGAAGAGCTGATGTCTATGTACAAATAGACCGTTTATTGTGATACTATTGGGATAATGGAATTTTTGCTGTGCCAAATTATTTTGGAAAACACAATTTGATTCGTTCAAATTTCAAGCATATGGTGCTCCCAGTTTTGTAGGATAAATAAATCTTATGTGTATTTGAAAGCATTAAAATGAGTTTTATTTATCAGTACACCTGTATGTTAATAGTAATGCTTATTTTGGCCACTAGAGGGGACTATGCAGCCAATCGTACTATGAGCCAGTCTTTTTTTTACAAATTGTAAAATTAAACATTTGTTATAATTGAGGGGAACTAATATTACAGTTTTTATGCAAAATATTAGCTTATTACCCCATTGAGACATTTAACGTATACTTCTCATTGTTACCAGCAGATGGCAACAGAAGACTGTATAATATATTTATTATTTTGAAGTAAAAAGTTTTTGGGTAAGATGGGCCCCCTATAATTGGTACAGAAGGCTCAAATGGCATGTTATTAATAGAGTTTTTTTTTTTCTTATTGTAATTTATGGGGTTATGTAATATTTTCATGAATCATTTCAGACATCTTCCCTTTCTTTAAAACATATAGGTCAAAACAGTGAAATCATTAAATTTGCATTCATAGTGTTGCAATTAACATATCTTTAAATAAAATATTGGCAATTAAATATGCAAATTTTCATCCACCTGTATATAAGTCTTAGAATAATTTTATCTTTCAAAAACGAAATTGTCAAAATCTAATTTTAAATAGAATAGTATATTTGGTATTTTATATTAATGGCATTTTTAAAATATATTTAGATATTAGAATAAGAATTATATCAAAAGTAATTTGTACATTCTGTAAATGTTTATCCAGGAGGCTTCTTACTGCAATAGGTGCCATTTTACCCCTCTTTTAATAATTTTGCTATAACTAAATAGTAAATGCCTGTATTTATTTTCTATAATAACTCATCCTGCGCATGCTAACCTTACATCTAAATATGTTACAATTTAAAAGTATATCCATATTCTTCAGAGTAGATAGTAAAGGTGTTCCAAGAATGGGTTTTTTTTTTTTTAAATCACTCAAAAATGTAAAAATACCAACACACTCATATTTAAAGATAAAACTGTTTTATCACTGTTTATTTGTCACAAAAATATGCGAAAACAGAAATGTTTTTTTTACGTCTTTTCTAATGAATAACTTTGACCTCCACAGAACTAATAGATTTTTTTGAACAAAAAGTAGAAGGCCATAATGAAATAAGTATAAATAAAATACAAATAATAATAATCAACATTAATAAAAACTTACATTTAAAACTTAAATAGAAAAAATAACATATTTACATTTGGTATGTATTAAAAAAATATGCATATAATCAACAATTTCCAATAGTTTGTTGGACTCACAAACTAAACTAAATGCAAAAACTCCCAAATGCTACTTTTCTTATATTCATATATACATAAATGCATCAATAATTGTAATACACTTGTTCGTACCGAATACATACAGCTGTCTGAAAACATCACCACAAAATTAAAGGGTATTACATGTGCAAAATATGTAATAGAGCCACTGAATAAATAAGCTGTGAATATCCAGATACTCGGGCATGCCGGCCCTCGTGAAAATATGCCCAGTGTGCATGTGTGGCTTTGATTAGTCTGCTATGTATGCAAGTCCGAACGAGCATAAGCCCATTGTTCTCTTTTATGACCATCTCTGCTGTGTTGTCATAGTGCCCAGGCCTTGAGCTCCAAAGTAAACCGGTGTCCGGTGTGGTAAAGGTCCAGGCAGGGGCTGAATCATCCCATTATCCGGGTCAAACTCCCATATGTTATCATAGTCCATTTCCTGGTCATCTGGATCCACTGGCCGAAGGTAACAGTCATCTGTGAGAAGCAAAAGACAATGATTAATGTCTTCAAATACTTCAAATATTTAGTTTAAATCCATGATTTTTTCCATGATTAATCATGCCTGGAAATCACAGCTGTAAAATTCCCTGTTTTCAAGGATTGAAAGGTACCCTACTCTTATGGAATGAACTTCCGAACCTGGGATTTAGTATGTAAAAATGTATTATTTAAATCAAAATCCACATGCCAAGTTTAAGAAGTTAGTAAACTGAGCCATCTACATACTTCATGGCCTAATTTAAGATCTAACATATCGTTTGTTGTGTTCTTTTCCACAGAAGGGATCTAAATGTCTTGCAGAATCTCCCACTTGTGAGCTTTAAATCACCCTCGGTAATTCTGTCCATTCGCTGGTCTTTCCTTCATGTGCCACCTGCAGTGCTGTCATTTAAAATACCCTGGGCCTGAGCCGTCTTACACACACAAACATACACACACATGCCCCTTCATCTGCACTCTTGTTTCCACTGTCATGTCCTGCCTGGGCAACCACATCCCATCAAACCCTGCGCGCGTGTGTGTGTGTGTGTGTGTGTGTGTGTGTTGGAGAAGGTCATTCTAAAACCATCCTATTAGCTGTGCCGTGAGAGTCTGCTCTATGCACGTGTCACCATGGATTATTTCCTCCTTCTGGTGTTGTGTTTAAACCTGACAAGTGAGTGTGTATACATGACAATTAAGCTATTCATATAAACATTTTTTTTTTCAATCAGTTGAACCAGTCTATAAAACATACTGATGATCTAGGTTAACATTTCACACGCTAAACAAAACCTGTGTCCACAAAACTGTCGTGCAACTCGCTGTGTATATCTTGCGTATCTATTTCTCTATCTACATCCGTGAAACGTGCATAACATCGTGCCATTGTGGTGCTGTAACTGCCTCCTAACTTTAGCATGTCAAAAATTCTCACCTGGCGAGTAATTGTACGATATCTGCTGCGCCTCCATGACAGTGTGACCTGAGAAACCTCTCTGTAAAAGACAGGAGAACAGGAGATCATTTTCACATACTTTTTTGAAGCTACATTCATGTAGAGCAATATTTCTGTCTTTCTTCATTTTTTTTTTGTCCTATTAATTCATTACAATATACATTTTGTACCTTTCAAAAGTTCGAGGACAGTACAATTTTTTAATTCAGCATAGGGGGAAATTAAATTGATCAAAAGAGACAGTAAATACATTTATAATGTTACAAAAAAAATCAATTTTCAATCAATTCTCTTCTTTTGAATTTTCTATTCATCTTAATAGAAATTAAATACAGTATATCATGATTTCCACAAAAATATTAAAGCAGCACAATGGTTTTCAATATTGTTAATAATAAGAAATGTTTCTTGAGAACTAAATCAGCATATTAGAATGATTTCTGAAGAATCATGTGACTCTGACTGAAGACTGGAGTAATGCTGCTGAAAATTCAGCTTTGCATCACAGGAATAAATTGCTATTTGAAATATATTAAAATAGAAAACAGTTATTTTAAATAGTTTTTCACAATTTTACTCTTTTTAAAATAAATGCAGCCTTGGTGGGCATAAGCAAAAACATTAAGAAATCTTACCAACCACAAACTTTTGAACAGTAGTGTACATTGAAAAATACAATTCAAATGTACAATGACATAAAGGGGTCCTATTATGCTTTTTCACTTTTTCAACTTTAGTTAGTCTGTAATGTTGCTGTTTGAGCATAAAAAAGATCTGCAAAGTTACAAGGCTCAAAGTCCACTTCATAAGGAGATATTTTATTTAACAGAAATCACTTTTCAAAAACTACAACGAACGACTCGTTTGGACTACAACGCATATTTTCCGGGATTTGTGATATCACAAATATCGACGAATGGGACGAGACCTGGTTGAGCTGCACTAGAGAAGGCAACGAGTGTTATCACTATGTCGGAGACACACTAGAGTGGTTACAATGGACCCTTTTCACAAGACTGTGATGACGCGTTTAATGGTCATCAGCATCGTAAATCCTCAAAAGTTTTTCATATCTGTATTTTTTTTTTAAATGTATCTACATTTATAACACTATTGTTTGTATTATATCACCTTTGCATCAAATGACAAAAAAACAGTTAACGCGAATGCGAGGGTGTTTCTAATGCAGCTCTATGGGAGGGCTGGTAAATTTGACTTCGTTCTCTCTTCTGACCCATTCACGGCTATTCACTGCTATTCAAAAGAATGGGGTTTTCGAACAACCTTATATGAGAGCCTGTTCTAGTACACTTTGTAAAAGACCATAATACCCCTTTAACAAAAATTAATTTTGATATTTTGGGGGGGGGGATAAAGTCAAAAATGTCTGGTTGATACAACTATCCTGATATCATAATGAAGCAAAAAGCCTAATTTAAAAGAATAAAAGTCTTGAAATCTACTACCATCCCATTACCTGAGAGAGGAGTTTGTGTTCTGGCTGTCGGTTTGGGGTGGGCAGTAACTTCAGTTTGGAAACGGCCTGGGCACGTAGCTCTTCAGACCACTGACTGCTGACCAGCTCGGGCTCCAAGGCCTGGCCGTGTCTGATTTTCCGCCCAAGAGGAGGAGTGCAGAGCCGGAAGGAGTGAAAACACTATCGTGGAGTTTTCTTTTGCTATTTGAGCAAATGGGAATGCAAAAAATATATTTGTGGTACTCTCCCATTCACTGCTATTCACTGCTATTCAAAAGAATGTGTTTTTCGAACAACCTTATATGAGAGCCTGTTCTAGTACACTTTGTAAAAGACCCCTCTGAAGCGAGATAGGACGTCTGTGGAGGGGAGGAGTAGTGGAGTGAAACAGGACGGTGGTCAGGGGCCGGTCGGACACGAGAGGAGAAGCTGCTGCTCCTGCTGCCCAAGTGAGCTGAGTACTGTGTGTCTGAAGAGTTAGGCCTGCTGGAAATGAACTGTACCAACACACATATAAGTTATACTTGTTTTTATGCATTCAATTTCCCCCAAAAGCCAAAATTCTAAACTGATGCAAATAATGCAAATTTCACCTGTCTTCAAAGTGAAAAAACTGTTCTAAGTAGGGCATCAGATTATAGTCATGCTCTGCTACCTTGACTAGCGGGGCCTTCTCGATGCGTTGAACGGGGCCATTGCAGTGCACCGAACTGTACGGTGTGTTGTAAACCGGTGACATGGGCCCCTCTGAAGCGAGATAGGACGTCTGTGGAGGGGAGGAGTAGTGGAGTGAAACAGGACGGTGGTCAGGGGCCGGTCGGACACGAGAGGAGAAGCTGCTGCTCCTGCTGCCCAAGTGAGCTGAGTACTGTGTGTCTGAAGAGTTAGGCCTGCTGGAAATGAACTGTACCAACACACACAACACAGAGCTCTTGTCCAGACAGGACACGATGATGGGGTTTATCAACTTCCCTAAAGACAAAACCCACAAGAGTTAAGAGTCGCATATGCATCTGTGCAGAAACAGGGCACAGCGTGATAGGAAGCCAGTCAGAGTTTACACTCAATCTTTATGGCACATATCAGATCTTTGCCAAGAACTATAACATCTGGCAACTGAAGTTTGACTTGTTAACTCACCCTCAATCATAAATGTGTTGGGCATGATGTCCTGGCAGGGAGTTGTAACTGTGATCATGTTGAGAGGAAGTTTGCCCTGCAATTGCAAATGCATTCAAGATTATTTGCGTCACTGGATTACTCCATACAATAAACTTAACTGTTGTGCAAATGAAGTTATTTTGAGATACCTTGTAAAAGAGGCCATCACTCTCTTCTGACAGAATTATGAGATAGTTGGGATACAACACCAGCAGACGGTCATACTGCTCCTGCAGCCAAACAGGAATTGAATCACATTCATTATTGCTTATATAGGTTTACACTACAGTAAAATAGGCAAGAAGCTAATAATAGAGTAACTTGTTTTAGTCACTTTATTGCAGTTAATTTTTTCTATTTTTGGTCCACCAACAAACTATTTCCAAATAAGCAGCATAGCTGGTGTGGGCCTGTAAGCAAGTTGTGTCCCCAAACGATTCAGAGTTTTTGAACAAATCAATCGAAAAACCGATTAAATGACTCACTCATTAACTTGCTTAATTCCTAAGTGAATCAGTATGTTTGAACACATCGTTTGAGTGAATGATTCATTGACTCACGGCTAGTGATGGTAGAAATGAGCTCTTCGAAAATCGGAATCAAAATGATTCTTTTGATTTGAAGCGCTGAAAAAATGCAGGCTGGCGTTACCTGCTGGTCAAAACGGTGTAAATGCAACGAGCTCAACCTTTTACAAACCAATTACAACTGCTTTTATGAAAGTGCAATTTATTAAATGTAATCTACAAATCATTATATCATTAAATATGAAGAGTTTGAACAATGTGTGTTCTTTTATTAAAGGGCTTGGTTGCTTGGCTAATTAGACAAATTAAAAACAATTAACTATCACTGTTCCTTTTTTTAATCATACGCACGTTTATGGAAATTCAGTAAAACTGAACCAATATTATATAACTAACAAGAGATTAGTTACAATCATAGACCCTGTAGTTTACCAGTAAGAGCCCTTTAGCTGAACCATCATAATTTTAACAGTTCCGAAACAGTATGACTTCATTTAGCCTTGTTTGCTGAAATTTTGGAACGAATGGCGGATTCGAAACAAAAGATTCACAAAGGCTTTGAAGAATTGTTTCGAAAGCGCTAATCACGCTCAGCTTGTCTGGAACGCCCAAATACGGACAAGCGGAGTGAAACAAACAGTGCTGTTGGAGCGAATTGGAGGACCGGAACCGAGGACCGGAACCATAGGTGGAGCGTGTGTAGGCTGGGGAAGGCTTAGCCTTAGATTGCGGCAGTAAATTAAGATCTGCTCATGTTGCACCGTATTTCATTTTAGGCGTTTGTACAGTGTTGCGCATTTGAACCAATCACACACAATTCTGTTGAGCTTAGTAATGCAATGGCCAATCAGAGGCGTTCAGATGAGTCATCGTTGAAACAGACCAGTTTTGTTGAGAGCGCGCGCGATCGCTGACTGAATTCCGTACTCTTGCGAATTCTCTCATCATAAACAACAAAGTGCAGATGTACGTACAATGTAAGTAAGTGCAGCTTCAGTGATTATAACGATAGTGTTGTTTTTTTGAGAGTGCTTAAACTCAGGATAGATCAATGTTAGTGATAATGTCACTTTCTATATATAATGTAGGCTATTCTCTGTTTGAATAACCTTGGAAAGGAAACGTTATATAATTATCAATTTCTAACGTTTTTATTCAATTGTAATCACGTTACATACAAATTCAGTCCCATTAAACATTTTTTAGCCTACATGACACCCATGTCTGGTTCTCGCCTAAAAAGACGGGTTTATGATGTTTAATACATTTGGCTGCTTTTAGCCTTACCCTGGAGTTGGTTCACCCTCCGCCTAACTTGTCTAGCCTAATAATATCTAAGAAGCTGACCATCACTTTGCACAGCAGTGTGTGAAGCACAAATTTCCCAGAGGTCTTGCACCAACCACGAGTGTGTGTTTTAACTCGGGGTGTGTTCAAAGACAGCTGTTGGGTGAGTCAAGTCAAGTGTGTGAGGCAAGCAACTGGTTTACACACCCTTTTTCACAAGCAGATCCTCTCCGCTCTCACAGTACACTTAAGAAGGACTATCAGTTGCTCACCCTCCCTCACTCTCTGGGAAAGGTTTAGATATTTGGCCACACGTACACCGGATATTGGGTTACACTACAGTCCCCATAGTATGAACTGGCGTGCTTTGTGTTTGTATGCTGTCAGTTCAAGGAGACTTGCTGAAACCAGGCAGACTCTGACTGATGAGGGTAGTGTGAAAGTGGCAATGCCAAAACAGATCCTAAATGTAAACTGAGCTTGCTTTGCACCTCTTGAGAAAGCATGGGAGTGAATTTAGACCCTCTTCATGCTAAGACCAAACAATTAATTCAAAGGCTTTTCAGAGTGAACGTCATTCTCAGTTGTGTAATGCCAATGCGCAAGTGTTCAAGTGAACTTCACTGTAACTGTATTTCCTTATATTTTGAGTAATAAATGAAATTTCGTTTTTGCTGTGTAATGTATGCTATTGTTTTATGCCATTATATTTATGCAAATATATATTTTTTGTTTCCATTTTTTTCAGGTTGTATAGATAATCAAATCAAAACAAAGGGCGAGATGATGAGAACATCCTGGAGAGCTCTTACCTGACAAGGCATGTGTTGCAGCCTGACTTTTGTGGCGTAAGTGATGGGCCCTAGACTCTCTCGTTGCAAGCCCTCCCACTCATAAATGGGCTCTTTACTGATGGAATTCCTCAACTCCTCCTTTTCCACTTTGGTCTCTTCTGAGCACTGCACCTTTGGAGGCAATATTGGGTTTAAATCCATGTTCAAAAGTAAAAACTGGCATGACGTGTCTTATGATATGGGAAAGATAAGTCATCAGCATTAGGGATTTCAAAGAAATCATTGCTTCTTGATTGCTAGTCCCTGCCAATTATGTGGCTCAGTGAGCTCACTTGCTGCAATAGCATGATGTGTCAGAACAGGAAAGAAAACATGTCTTTTTCAAATCCAGCTAAGGTGACCACAAAAGAAACCACTCCCTTATGAAATCCCAGAGGACAATGACCAACATTAGTCACTCTGACCTGAATTAACACCTTCTTTTTTTTTTTTTTTTTACATGTTCATTGTCTTATACTTCAATTTTGCAGCTAGCAAATACAGGTAATTCTGATTAAAGGTAGATTTTCCAGTACCTTAATTCTTGTGTATGTCTCTGGTACGATTGCACTGCCACCATTGGCCTCGATTTGTTCTTTCAAAAGCCCAAACCAGTTGTTCATCTCCTCTTCTGTCGAGCAGTACACGATGATAGGATTTAAGCTGACCCCTACAAAGGTCAAAGACAAGGGGTCAGAGGTTAGGTCAGATGACTACGACCAGTGACCATCTGGATCTCTTTGAAACCTGCAACAGGTTGCTGAATCTTTTGGTGAATCTCTTGTTTTTAAGTATAGATGCATTCGTCTAGATACTGTTGCTCTGTTTCATGTCACTGTTGACACTTCTGACCCTGAGAGCAAATAATCTGTTTCAAGAGCTCTTAACATTACAACATGCCATGCATTTGCAGGAAACCAGTTGTCCCTTCTTGAAAACAGCTATTTTGAAAGTATGCATAAAACCTGGAATCTCCCTTTTATCAGACCCACATTCCAGCCATTATCAGCGTAGATATCAGCCACTCTGACCTGCCCTGTACAGTCATTTCCAGTTAGGTGTGATGTGTTCTTAGCAGAGGCATGTGTTCGTGTGCAAGACTTGGTAATCCCACCCCCCCCCAGAATACATATTTAGTCAGAACTGGAAATGCTGCTGTGTGCCTCATAGATTCCCAAATCTCACTCCCAGCATTAATCTAAGACATCATCTTTCCAATCTAAAATACAGTAGTGAGTCCTATCTGATATAATTTTGTGGCAAATAAGAAGATTTATGTGACTTAACATCACATAACGGTTAAGCTTTCATTCTTTTTCATTCAATCATGGCCACATTGACTCCTTCCGAGAACGTTAAGCATAGTTTGAAGCATTTTGTTGATTGCTCAGCGTGACAAAGCAATAAAGTCAATATTTTCTTATGTGGTAAATTCTCATAAAAATTTTATAAGCAAACTTGTGTGTTCAGGTCCAGTGCTCTGGAATGTGGAGTACTTTAACTGTGAAGGAGAAGTGAAGAGGGAAAGGGCCCTCGTAGCTCCACAGCTGAGCGAGTTCAGGCGCACCTGTCGTATAACAAGGGGGGTCTTGAGGACAATTTATCTCTCTTCTGACTAGTGGCAAATGGAGGAGGGTTTACATTGTGTTAGTGCTTTTGAACCTCTGGAATGTCTGAACATGGGAAGTGGTTTTGGGCCTACATAGTGTGGCTTTACAATGTAAGCCTCACCCGTCTTTTGTTTTCTGGTTAGTTGAGAGTCACAAATTCCACTCTTAAATATATAACTGAGAATAACAGGGTTTGGAATTTTAAAAAAAGACCTCCAAAATGTAAGAAATAAAATATTAGAGAAACACAAAACTTTGTATTGGGCAATTATTATATGTATGATAACTAAATCTCCCCATCTCTTTATCTTTTTGTTTCATGCCTACCTTTTCCTGTTTGTTCAACCCTGGATTATCAAGCACACTCACCGTTTATCTGGAATGCAAATTCCTGCGGATCACCAAAGCTGTTCCTGTTCTGCAGCTTGCAAATTGTGAGCTCTTTGAGAGGAAGTGTTCCCTGTACAACAAAAATAAATCATAGGGAGTTTAGTAGTCTGACTTTATAGTGAATTAAATAAAAAAAAATGTATATAGAGAGCCATTAGAAGATCTACATTGAAAATATGGGATTCAAAATAATTTATATATTTATTTAATTTTTAAAACAGTAAAAAAAATAATTTGACAATAAAATTACATTTTATATTATATAATAACATTTTATATATGAATAACTTTAATTTAAAACTTGGAATGATTAGAAAGTTTTAAGATTTAATTTTAATTTTAATTTTATTAAAATAAAAATAAAAAGAATGTTACATTGTTATGAAAATTATGACACTTTAGATGTCTGTCACTTTGACACATTCAGTATGACACAATACTCTTTCAATGATAATGAACATTTATTACCGGCGCCTCCCAGTGACTCAGGTTAATGAATACAGACATAATAAAACCTGATCAATACAGGTCACAAATTTTATGATTGAATACAACTTAGTGTGGCACTTTTGGCATGGAGAGGTGACACATTTAACATCATCATAAAGCATAGAAAATCTGTAATATCCGTCTCCGTTACTGCATGACTCAAACGACAGTTCGTGCCTAAGGCAGTGACACAAGCATGGACATATATGGAGCTCCTTTACATTTCGGCCTGTGGTATGCATTGTTTATTGTGTGTAACAAAATGAGTACAAGTAGGTGCATCTTTTTACCTGGTATGTGAGTCCAGTTGTGTTGTTGGAGACAAAATGAAGATGGGTTTGGAACAGGTCCAGATAGCAGTCATGCACATCCTGAAAGAACAGACACATTCCATCAGCTCAGCATCGACACAATCAGAGGATCATTTTGAGTAATGCTGCTTTATAGGTTTGAATTCAACAACACAGGCGGATTAAAAGATTTCACTCTCCCATAGACTGAATAGCAAGATTTTCAAAGGTCATGTTGAAGGCAAACTCCAAACAAGATGCAACATTTCACCCAGACAAAATAAAAAAAAAAATAGACAGGGCATTAATGTGTGGTAAATGTAGCAATCTTGCTCACAATCCCTGGAATGAATGGTTAAATACTCCTGTGTAAATCAATTACTTTCGAAAACTATCAAGCTTTAAAAGTGTGAAGACATGTCATGCAAACAAGAGGGATGTCACGAATTACGAATACTTTCTGAGAAGTGTTTGTTTGCTTTAAAGACTAGTTTAAAGCAGCTAACGTGGAGTTATCACAGACAGCTCATTTCCTTTCATCTGATCTAGGTCTTTACCACACTCCCATTATCACAAATACTGTTAGGTAACATTTCCTTTCAACTGTAATGTCACCGCTGTATAGTATGTTCACATTTGACCTCACCCTGTGTTGGGTTATTTTTCTTCCCTCACCTTCACACTCTTTTTTTCCCCCAGTATGACTACATGTTATCAAACCAAAGATATTCCCACGCTTCAGAGCAAATGTGTAATATATCAGCAGTTTGATCAGTGCGCTCTGCCCCGGGTAATCTCAGCAACTCTGAGCCATTTCACAACACCTCACATCCCTGCGTGTTCCCACACGGCCTAAACTCCCCAAACCGAGTTCCATCAATTAATCAGCAAATGCACGTACGTCATTCCCACTATGCTTCATACAACCACCATGTGACATCTTGTATCTTCCACCTGTCTGTTATGCATTACCTCATAGAGAGTGAGTAAGTGACTGTCACGGCTGCTTAGACCACCTTAATCATCATTTGAAAGTCTGTTTTGAAAGGTTTATTGAATGATTATTCTTGATGACTGCGTGTTTGTTTTGGAGTTTGATTGGATATGTGTTTTAGATGCGAGTTGGTGTGTCTTACCTGGCAGTGCAGGAAGCGGAAGCGGACTTTGGAGCTGTGGATCATTCTGCCGTAGTTCTTTACGTTGATGCTGCTCTTTTTCCATCCACTAACTGGGTCATAGGGGAACGGAGGGTCCCATTTGATGTTCTCAATCGCCTGGAGATCTTTCGGTGACATTTCCTATGTCAACGCAGTGTTAAAAGTTAGTTCCTTTTCTCAATAACATCTGATATGCAAAGATGTACTTCTTAAATGTGAAAGCCTAGCTAATAGAAAATGTTTTCAGAACTTCAGTTAACGGTTTTCTCAAAGTTACAAGCAAAATATGTTCTTAGAATGTTTTTAAGTTAACAGCTTAAAAAAACATTCACAAAATGCTAGCTTCAAAATATTATTTATATGTTTACATTCTAAGAATGTTGTCGTAAGTTATGACAACACTATTTTCAAATATTCTGTGAACATTCAAAGCTTCCAATTTTGAATAAAGACTTAATGGAAAATGTTCTTAGAACATAGCCTTGTTTTCTGGTAACTTTCTACAAACATTTTTACATAACATTTTTTCATTTTTACATTTTGTTCAACGTTAGTATAACAAAAGAAAACTTTCTTAAAACATAAAAAATTGACGTTTTGAACCTTAACTTTTGGAAGCAATATTTTCATAAATTAAGCTACATTTTAGGAAAGTGTTCTTAGAACATAGCCTTGTTTTCTGGTAACATTCTGCTAATGTTTTCCGAAATGTTAGTATAACAAAAGAAAAACTTTTTCTAAAACACAAGAAATTGAAGTTTTGAACCTTCGCAACTTTTGGAAAATTTAAGAACTTTTTGTAATTTAAGAAAAATCTTAGGAAAAGAATCTTAGAACATTATCTGGTAACATTCTGCTAACATTTCCAAAGTGTTAGCACAACCAAGGAAACATTTTCTCACAACATGCAAAAAATTTGATGTTTTGAACATTCACAGAACTTTTCATGATTTATTGAGAAGGTTAGAAAATCATTAGCTGGAAGGTCCCTCACCTTTCTTGGTGTTACGGTGCAGAGAATGTTGATGATGCTATTGGACTTCTCCTGACCCTCCTGTGGGTACTTTTTCCGGAACAAACGGCTGCTGCTCAGAAAACGGTGCACAAAACAGATCCTTGTTAGTCAAGTAGGGTTGTGGGATAAGAAAAAATGGATGCGACCCCACACAGGGGTTATCTTGACTCAGGATGATCAGTTAATCATGCTGAGTCAGAGTCAATCTGTCTGTGAAGACTCTGGTGCTCAGTGTCCCACACAAAAGATTACATCACCATTACACATGTCCATTCTTCCTTAGCTTGCACTAGTCAACATATCAGTTTTACATCTCTGTCTGCACCATTTAAAGAGAAAAAACAATAAAGCTTGTGTTACAAACCACGATGCCCCACTCATGAAATGCCTTTTGTTAACCATGACCCCCATTTATAATCATTAGCGTCAGATCTATATAATGAAGTCCTTCCTGCCCAACGATAAGCTAAGGAAGTCAAAGTCACGAGGAGATCATCCTCAGCAAGAGAGACATCCTCAGTGAAAAACCATGTTTTTCTTCTCTCTCTTTGTCAATCTGTCTCTGCTTTGAATGCAATTAGCATAACAACACTGGGCTCATTCATGCAGACAATAATGGGAAGTATCGGTGATTTACTAGGGCTCAGGGATGAACGTGTTTGGCATCCGGAGAATTCATCCAGGAGAAGAATGCAGGTTGTAGGCAGTTTGTTACACAGAACATGCTCGTAAAAGTGATGAAAGTTGGACAGCGGCAACTTTGTAAATTTACGTAACTATTTCCAGCAGATCACCTTTTGTTTTCATTAAAAATGCAACCATTCAGTGGACTTATTTTAAATCTGATAGGGGTCCTGGGTCCCGCTACTCTAAACTCTGATCTGATATGTTCGCAGTAAAAATACAAAGACTTTTTTTATGGTCTCGGACTCTGAACCCTAACTGAACCCAGTAACTTACATTCAGAGCACATGCAAACCAGACACAACAGACAAACAGTCTGATTTAAAATAGGCCAACTGTCTATTTGACTGACAGGTAGTCAGAAGAGTTGTCCAAATTGGACAGCAGTAAATTACACGGATCGCTGTCGCTAGCAGTGCAAGCACAATAGTATTACTTTCTGCGCAGGATAAACCCAATTCTCTCAAAAAACCACGAAATCTGAGAAGTCTACCCTTCCCTGAAGGCTGCACTGGAAACAGAAATAGATCTAACTTCATTACACTTGTGAATTCTGTCAGCAGATGAATGTATCAGTCAGTGTGAACTGTGAAGTGAGATCCTGACGCTGAGCTAATGAGCTTTACAGACAGCATCATTACACCGCTAAATTCAAATCACTAACCCGTGTTCATCATGTCAATGTGCAACAAAATATCATTTTTCAAGGAGTATTTTTGTCTTGTTTTCCATTAAAACATCATCATATATTACTAAATCTTTTAAGCAGCAAAATGGCAAAAGCTATTTTCGCCCACTGGCAAATTTTCCTTCTTTTAAATATAAAAAATATGTCAAATTTAAATATAAAATAATAATAACAACAAGAATAAATATTTTCATATTTAGATTGCTAATGGGGTGAGGAAAATAAAATTAATTCAAAATATATTTTCTGAAAGCAAATCTTATAAATTAATATCTTATACACTTTAAAATAAAATGTTTTTGTTGTTGTTGTAAATAAAAATTTCATGTTTAATTAAATACGTTGTGTGCAGTTGTGTGTATTTGTGAAATATATCAGACAATAGTTTCTACAATTGTTTTAAATGTACACAAGTTTGCTTCTCAAGTAAATGTATCTGGTTTTAATGACGATTAGACATTTCTACTGTAAAACAAGACAAAAAATATTGATGTTTGAGCTATAATATTATTTATTTTCCAAACTTATGGCATTTCAATCCAATCCAAACTCGTACGTTAAACCTCAAAACATTTCATGACATCCCTCTTGTTTGCATGACATGTCTTCATACTTTTAAAGCTTGATAGTTTTAAGGTAGTTTTTCGTGGTTCTTACCTGTTCCTGCGTATGAAGCTCTTGCTGGAGAACCTGAAGTTGTGTTGGGGGACGCATGACATACTACTCCCCATGTTGATCCTGGGACAGTGTGTGTATCTCCTCGATGAGAGAGTGCTAGTGTATCTGCCTGCAAGATCAATATAGTTTAGTGATCACTGTTGTAATCCAACCTCCCTGGAGTGAGTGAGTGAGTGTGTCTGTTCACCGGAGAGACGAGACTGATACTGAAGCAGCAGACAGGCGAGAGGGGAGTGTATGAGAAAGGGAGTGTGTCAGTGGGTGGAGATAAAGTGAGGTGTGTGTGGGCAGGGGGGAAGGAGGGAGACGAAGACGGGGGACCAGAGCAATGAAGTTCACACCTTCTGCTTGAGATCCCTTCACTAAATAAAGCCTAAATGACAAAGGGGAGCGTGTAGTTTTTCACACCTTATAGTGGGCAAATGGCACTGATTTGAATGTTTGAACAATCTGATGAAAGAGTATTAAAGTCTGAATGGAGCCTGCTGGTGTCACTTAAGAGGTCACAGCAAACATGTCTGGACATGGACATGCTCTCAATACTACAGGCTGATTATATTATTCACCAAAATAATTAATATATTTAAGATGTCTGGAAATCTGTGTAATTAAAAAGTTCTAGAACACTTAAAAATCACTAAATGTCCACAATTTTCTTGCATTTTATTTTTGTTTATTACTGATTTTTTTTCTTACTCTTCCTGGCAGTATTTTTGTTTCATAATAATGAAAATAATAATAATTGTAAAAAATTTGTGAGGTTAAAAAATGCTAATTGGGTAAGAAAAAAATGAAATGTAACAGAAATTTTCTCTGCCATCTTATAATATCTTAAACAATTTTGCTTCTCATTCTTGTTTTAAAGATGTTTAGACAGAAATATGGAATGATCAGTTTTCTTGAGTGTTTTATTGTATATTGTTGTGTGTGTGTGTGTGTGTGTGTGTGTGTGTGTGTGTGTGTGTGTGTGTGTGTGTGTGTGTGTGTGTGTGTGTGTGTGTGTTTATGATTTTATTACCATTCCTGGCAGTATTTTATTTAGTTAATAATAATATTTTTAATATTTAATATTTTAATACAATAATAATAATAATAACAATATAATTTATAAAAATGTTTGTTTATTATTAATATGATTGTATTGCTATTACTGGCAGTATTTGGGTTTTATTTTATTATATTATGTTTAAGTATGTATTAAGTGTATATATATATATATATATATATATATATATAATATAGTGCTGTCAAACGATTAAAAGTTTTTGTTTGCAGAATATATGAGTGTTCTGTGTATATTTAATATGTATATATAAATACACACACATACAGTATATATATTTTAAATATTTACATGTCTATATTTATATTCATATAATTTATATTATAAATAAATATATATATTCAATATATAAGCATAACATATTTTTCTGAAATATATATATATATATTTATAATGTATATATGTATATGTGTGTGTGTTTGTAAAATATATTATCCATTTTCACAACTTTTTTATAACAAAGTATTGTTTTGTTGTTATTTACTTTTTTAGTTTTGTTGATAATGGAGGTTACTGGCTTGTTTCATTCATTCATTCATATTTTTTAAATGCTATATCAGCATCAAAAGCTACATTCATGGCAAAAATATAATTACAAATAAAAAACGTTCTAACATTACAAAATCAACTATACAAAAGTAAATCTACAAAAATTTGATGATTTTAGAATCTATATGTCTAAGCAGGTAATCACATTACACTCGTCTGTACTTGCTGTGAACTTGGCGCTCGTGACTGTATGGTCTCTGCGTTTTTGCAAATGTGTGAGATATGATCTAATCAAATTAAAAGTGCAACACTCCCTGTATGCAACCAAGGAAGCACAAGTGAATAATCCCATCCTGGTGAGGGTTTGTATCCCTGATATCTTCCAGCTGTCAGACATGCAGATTGCCTCAAGAATATTACATTATAACAAATGGAATTACAAGTTCTAGCCTCCCTCTTTGTAAGTGTCTTAATGATGATTAGCTGTTGCATGAGGCATTCTGTGTTTGAATGCATTCTTTGAATGGTTCTTCTAATGACGTGTAAATGTATGTGTACGTAAACTCCATGTATGCATTTCAGCTCTTGCCATTTATGGTTTCATTCCCACAGCATATTTTCAAACAAACCCTCAGAAATGACATTTTAGAGGTTATTGTTCTAGTGTGGGTGGTTGCTGATTCAAACCAGCTGAACCAGGAAATGTAAGTGAGGCCACACCGGAGGCTCTAAACTGACACATTCCAGCTCAAGCATTCCTCAATTCACTATATTAAACAGCTACAGCATGTTTATACTCTTATCAGATACTATGCCATTGTTTATAGCTTACTGAGAAGTTCCGTGGTTCAGACTAATAATAGCTGAAGTTTGGAGTCATAAAAAACAAATCATAAGAAGTATCATTCATCTGTTTTATTAACTCACGAAGATCCTCTGTTTTTTTTAAATAATAAATATGGTGAAGGCAGTGGGTGATAAAAGAAATATATTCTTGAAAGAGCTCTTTCATAGAGCTGTCATGGAAAAACAGAGATGATGTATCATTCCCCCGTTCTCGGTCTGGACACTGAAGATCTACACTATGAGTCATGAGGTGCTCACTCTGTATCAAGCTCGAAGTCTCCTAAAGGAAATTACAGTGTAAGAAAACACAGGGAAACATCTGACATAGTCTGGGAAAATCTCACTTCCAGTCATATAAGTTTCTGTCTGCTCCTTTGCGTTTCAGTTGCTTTTTGGAATACAGGTCAGATGTTAGGGAAGGGTTGGATCCGGGATTTTCAACCTTTACAAATCCCTCCATTCTGACTCTGTCAACTTAGAGACCCCCTATATTTCTAAGATCTTACACCTAAAATAATTTTCATTAATAACATTAACGAACATGATTACCTTTTATATTGCTTAATATTTAATTAGCACGTTTACAAATATATTTTGTATTTATTATTATTATTTTATTTATTCATTTCAATTATATTTGGAGGTTTTTTTGCACATTATTTGTCAGGGGAATTTTTAAAATAAATAAATACTTATGTTCGGCAAGGGCGCATTAAATTAATGGACGATTATTTTTAACGTTACCACAAATATCAGTTTCTACACATATACGTTTTCTTATTTTTATGGCATTATAAGGTTCAATAGTAGTTGTATACTATGATGAACCACTATAATTATGATAATATAACTTAACGATTTGCTTACACTAATGTTCTGTATGTAGAATAATCATTGTCTAGTAACAACAGCATACTATTGTGAATTTATATAATCCATAAAAACAGAAGGTTTACATTAGGCCCGTGTTTTTGAAAGTTGTCACAAAGGAGAAAAGACGGATGTGGAAGGATGTGGAAAACCAAGCCAAACACAACAGTGTATCTGACTGCCCACAACATTTTATGTGAATAGCTTTTCTTCCGATCTTATTGAAAACAATCAGTGCTTCCTTTTCTGTTTGGATCCTATATGGGGTTAAATGCTTAGCCTGTGTGTGGATTATATCTTCAAACAAATGGAGGAAATATATGTAATTCTCAGTCACCATTTACTTATGATTCATATCCCTAATATTCATTTTGACCACACTTTGACCTGCGTATTACACACCTAATACTATGACAGTATCTATTGCATAAACACAAGTAGACCGCTATTTGAAATAAAGATGTTTTAAAATAAGTTTACTGGAAAAATTATCTCAAACATCGTGATAAGACTGACTTTAGTTCGCAATGTACTATCAAAGTCATGAATCCTTCAGACAAAATCTCACACACTGTGCATTGAGCAAGGCTATCGGCACGACCCTGTCTGGGAAGTCCCTCTGCAATGTTTTTTCAGACTCGCTGGGTGCGTTAGAGGTGCTAACTTCACACCTCTGGCTGTTTTCAATGGACCACGTGTGCAAGAGAGAACCATGGGTGTCAGAGCTCTCACAGTACAAATAAACAGGGTGTAAGAGGAGGAATAAACAAGGCTTTGAAGGGCCACATCAAACAGTTGAAAGAGTTTTGTTTTTTTGCTAAAATGCCTTTGTGATTTTTTTTTGTAACATGTTCAACAGAAATTACTGATAAAGATGATGTTGAGAATGTTAAATGTGCTGTAATGTTGTTTTTTTGCTGACCCAGAATTCAGTGGAGAAAATGGAGAAAGTAGAACTATGAGAAACCAAATCCTTCCTTGTTCCCTGGAATACATGCAGGTGCTGAATCGATTTTTGAAGGATTGCTCAATATCCAACAACGTTTGTCTTTAAATATAATGTCATAATTCTAGGGAAGACAACGTAGTACTTTATATACCATTCAAAGGTTTGGGGGCCGTGCGATTTTTCAACAGGGACACCTTACATTACATTGCTCAAAAGTGACAGTAAAGACATTAAGTTTAGAACAGATAAATGAATGAATGTTATTTTGAACTTTCTGTTTATCAAAGAATCCTGAAAATTATTCAGTTATGCTAAACCTGTCGTTTATGCTATTGAAAATAAAAAACAATGAATTACATTTAAAAAAATCAGTATTAAGCAGCACAGTTGTTTTCAATATTGATATTTTTTTTTACATTTTATTATATATATATATA